GCTGAGGCGGAAAGATCACTGGAGCCCAGCAAGTCGACGCTGGGGTGGCCGTGAGCATGCCACTGCACTCCAGCCTGGGTGACAGAGTGAGACTCCGGCTCAAAAAAAAAAAAAAAATACCACATATTTTAAAAATAAATAAATAAATGTATAGAGTTATGCAACAATCACCACAATCAAGATTGAAAATATCCATCACACCAGTAAGTTCCTTGTGCCCATATACAGTTTATTCCTGTTCCCACCTTAAGTAACCACTTAATCTTCTTTCTGACTCTATAGCAGGGGACCCAGTCCCTGAGCCATGGACCAATACTGGTCAGTGGCCCATTAGGAACTGGGGCACACCACAGGAGATGAGCAACGGGCAAGTGAGTGAAGCTTCATCTGTATTTACAACCATTCCCCATCGCTTGCATTACTGCCTGAACCTTCTGTCAGATCAGCGGTGCCATTAGATTCTCATAGGAGTATGATGTGAACTGTGCATGTGAGGGATTTAGGTTGTGCACTCCTATGAGAATCTAATGGCACCACTGATCTGAACAATAAATGTAATGCACTTGAATCATCCCCAAACCATCCTCCCCATTGACCCCCCCCATGGAAAAACTATCTTCCACAAAACCAGTCCCTGATGCCAAAAAGGTTGGGACTGCTGCTCTATAGGTTTGCCTTTTCTGGGCATTTCCTATAAATGGTACTATATGGTGTGTGGTCTTTTGCAGCTGGCTTCTTTCACTAAGTACAATGTTTGAGGTTTATCCATGTTGTAACATGTAGCAGTATTTCATTCCTTTTTACTGATGAAAAAGTTCCATTGTCATGGATATGCCATTACGTGCCATTGTTTATCTTTTGCCAATTGGTAAAAAAGATAACTTGGATTGTCTTTTTGGCTATTATGAATAGTGCTTATATGAACAGTTGTATACAAATTTTTGTGTACGTGTATGTTTTCACCTCTGGAAACGTAATTGCTAGATTGCATGGTAAGTTTATATTTAACTTTTTAAGAAACTGCCAAACTGTTTGAGCAGTTGAACCCACCTGCAATGTATGAGGGTTCTAGTCCCACCTGCAATGTATGAGAGTTCTAGTTTCTCCACTTCCTCATCTGTCTTTTTTATGATAGCCATTCTGGTAGGTATGAAGTGGTATCTCATTGTGGTTTTAATTTCCATGTGCCTAATGACCAGTGATGTTGATGATATGTCTATTCAAAGCTCTTGGTTGTTGGCCTTACTATGTTTTTGTTTTGTTTTGTTTTGTTTTGAGTTGGAGTCTCACTCTGTCGCCCAGACTGGCTGCTCCCGGCCACCGCAGCCTCAACCTGCTGGGCTCTGGCGATCCTTCTGCCTCAGCCTTCCAAGTAGCCGGAATTACAGGCACACGCTACTGTGCTCAGCTGATTTTTTTATTTATTGTAGAGATGAGGGCTTGCCAAGTTGCCCAGGCGGGTCTCGAACCCGCAGGCTTAGGCAATTCACTCACCTCAGCCTCCCAAAGTGCGGGATTACAGGCTAAGCCACTGAGCCCGGCTTGTCTTACTATGTTTTAAGAGTTCTTCATATATTCTAGATTACAAATTCTCTTTCAGATACATGGCTTGCAAAATATTTTCTCCCATTCTGTGACTTGTCTTTTTGTTTTTTGGTTTTGAGTCAGGATCTCACTCTGTCACTCAGGCTGGAGTGCAGTGGCATGATCAATGCTTACTGCCTCAAATTCCTGGGCTCAAGTGATCCTCCCACCTCAGCCTCCTGAATAGCTGGGGCTATAAGTGTGCACCACCATGCTCTGCTAATTTATTTATTTATTTTTTGTAGAGATGAGGTCTGTGTTGCCCAGGCCGGTCTCAAACTCCTGGGGTCAAGCAATCCTCCCACCTTGGCCTCCCAAAGTGCTAGCATTATAGGCATGACCCACCACACTCGGTCCTATTTTCTTAATTGATGAAATGACAATGTATCATTTTTTTTCTTTTATGGATTGTGCTAAGAACATTTTATGGATTGTGCTAAGAACATCTAAGAATTCTTCTCCTAACCCAAGGCTGAGACAGCCCTCAGGGTGCACCTTCTTGAGTGACAGAACCCCAGGGTGCTCATTTGCATGTGTTTTACATAAGATTTACATGCCACTCATTCCAGTCATTTTAGTTCCTTCCATTAGACTTCAGGACTTTGCAGAAGCCTTGATAAAGAAGCATTTCCCTGAATCCCCAGAACACTCTCCTCTCTTTTGCCTGGCTGACTCCATTTCTCAAATCCTCATCCAGGTAGGGTGCTGTGCCCTTGAATCTCTGGTCTCCTGACTCCCCGTCACAACTCTCATAAGGGTTATAATTACGTGTTTGCCTTCCTTCTCCTCTGGCTCCATAAAGGCAAGAACTGAGTCTTTGCATGGCTATATGCCCTGAACTTGGTACATACATAGTTGGTGCTCATAGAACGTCTCTTGAATGAATGAATATCTTATACATAGAGTCCTAGTGCTCCTCCTTTTTGTTATCAGAGGGGGCTGAGCCAGCCTGGGTAATTTGCAGGCTGGACTTTGCCTCTGGGTGGGCTCAGCTCTCTCCTCCCCACCCCCAACCCCACGCAGTGAGGACTCACCTGCCCACAATCATGAGCTCCTTCTCAGATGCCCGAGGCCGGAGGTGATTCCAGAGGTCCATGGTGAAGATGGTGCTGGCACTGTTAAAGATGGAGGTGAGGGAGGACATGAGAGCCGCCACCATCACAGCCATCATCAGCCCACGGAGCCCTGGGGGCGGAAGGGAGGTCATGGGCCTCTGTCTTTTCCTGTCAGCTGCTGCCTTCATTCACGAGTCTGCTATCCCAGGCCCAAAGCAGCTGATCCCAATGCGCTCAACTCTGAGGAGGCAGAACCTCAGAGAGGATGGCTGGGCAGAGCCTTCTGGAGCATCAGGACCTAGGTTTTATTGGGGGGCATTGGATCTGGGCCCCAGCCCTCCCCTCTTGCCGCTGCCTCAGATCACAGCCCAGCCAATATTCTCCTTCCTGGATATGCCAGGGGACTCCGTTTAGGGGTGAAGGGACATTACCTGTGGGCAGGAGTTCCAGCACAAGTTTGGGATATGCGATGTCAGAACAGCCAGAGGGGTTGCTACAGACCTTCTGGCAGATTTCTGGATCTGCACAAGCCACTTGCTCTATGGAGGAAACACAGGTCCAGAGTTGAGCAGACAGGCCCTCAGAACCTCAGGCCTAGTCAACTCGTGGCCCGATGCAGTCAAGCTCCAGGAGACAGGTTCGTTGTGTATAAACTTGTAGCTCAGTGAAACAAAAAACCCTAAAATTAGCCAGGTGTGGTGGCATGTGCCTATAGTCCCAGGTACTTGGGAGGCTGATGTAGAAGGATTGCCTAGACCCAGGAGGCTGCAGTGAGCCATGATCATGCCACTGCACTCCAGCCTGGGTGACAGAATAAGATCCTGTCTCAAAAAAAAAAAAAAAAAAAAAAAAAAGCCTAGACTGTATAAGCTGTGACCTAGTTACTTAACCTTCTGAACTTTAGTTGCCATATCTGTAAAACTGGGATAATAACATACCTCTACTTCATAAGATTAAAGTGGGAATTGACTGGGATGATATGCAGAAAGCACTTAGCACATAGGAAGTGCTGGAAACACCAGCTGTTGTTATTGTAACCCAGATAAAGTTAAGACACCTAGTGGTCAGTCTCATAGTAGTGTCCCAATGAGGCTCCAGTCCCCTGATTGCCAAAATGTGGGCAAAAGCAATTCACATCTTTACTCAATTTTTTTTTTTTTTTTGGTGAGTTGGAGTCTTATTCTGTTGCCCAGGCTGGAATGCAGTTGCATGCTCACGGCCACCGCAGCCGTGATCCTTCCGCCTCAGCCTTCCAAGTAGCTGGAACTACAGGCATGCACCACCGGCCCGGTTAACTTTTTAATTTATTGTAGAGAATAGGTCTTGCCAAGTTGTCTAGGCTGGTCTCGAACCCTGGGCTCAGGCAATCCTCTCACCTCTGCCTCCTAAAGTGCTGAGATTACAGGTGTGAGCCACAGCACCCAGCCTGACTGAAGTTCTTTGTTGCTATGACACATGGCAAACATTTCTAAGATTCCTCTTTTCCTTGTCTCTTTATCAATATCTCATATAGTTCAACAGCTGTTCTTCATGTTAGTGTCAAAGATTCTGCCATGCTGGCTCTGAATTTCTCTCTTCTCCTCTTTCAGCATTTCTGTGTCATTTATTTTCTCTCTGAGCAACTCTCTGATTTCCCTAATTTAAATTCATCACTGGGCACATTGGCTCAAGCCTGTAATCCCAGCACTTTGGGAGGCCAAGGTTAGAGGATTGCCTGAGCCTATGGGTTCAAAACCAGTTTGGGCAACTTAGGGAGACCTCGTTTCTACAATTAAAAAAAAAATAGCTGGGCATGGTAGCGCTAGTTCTGGCTACTTGGAAGGCTGCAGCAGAAGGATCGCCAGAGACCAGCAGATTGACACTTTAGTGGCTGAGTGTGCTACTGCACTCCAGCCTGGAAGATGGAGTGAGACTCCACCTCAAAAGAATAAATCCATCTAGCCTCCTTGGCATCTCTAGTTCTTCATCATGGGATGGATAAACATATTCCAAACACACAAGGATAGACCTCAAGCTTGGAAGACAGAAGAAGATATTTGAAACTATACCAATGGCCAGGTCCAGGGGCTCATGCCTATAATCCCAGCACTCTGGGAGGCTGAGGTGGGAGGATTGCTTAAGGTCAGGCATTTGAGGCCAGTCTGGGTGCATAGTGACACTCTGTCTCTGAAAAATAAAATAAAAACTATACTAGTGTGTGGCACATAGCAAGTGCTCAATAAGTTTTTGTAGGGAGAAGTTAGTTCTCACATTATTATTATTATTATTATTTTGAGTTGGAATCTCACTCTGTAGCCCAGACTGGAGTGCAGTGGCTGCTCCCGGCCACCGCAGCCTCGACCTGCTGGGCTCCGGCGATCTTTCCACCTCAGCCTTCCAAGTAGCTGGAACTACAGGCACGCACTACCACCCTGGCTGATTTTTGATTTATTGTGGAGATGAGGTCTCGCCAAGTTGCCCAGGTGAGTCTCGAACACGCAGGCTCAGGCAATCCACTCACTTCAGCCTCCCAAAGGCGCGGGATTACGGGCTGAGCCACCGAGCCCAGCTATTATTTTTTTGTAAACCCAATGAGGAATGCGGAGATTACTTTTACATCTCACAGATGAAGAGAAGGTCTTAGGGAAAGGGATCTAACAATAATCACCTGGCAAGATCATGTCAGAACCAGAACTGAACCCAGGTCTCCAGGCTCCCAATTCAATTTTTCGGAGAAGGGAGGCCATGAGGGTATATGCTTTTCCATGTTTAGTGAGTGGCAGTGACCCCCATCCAGCGCCTAATCCTGGCCACCGGGACTTACAGAATGTTCCATGTTGTCTCGGCAGTTTAGCACCAGGGTCTGAATGACAGCTTTCCTGTCACCTTTTGTCTCCCACAGCTCCTCGGGTCATAGCTAACCAGTGCTTTCCCTGGCCGAACGCCTATCCAATGCCCTTCACCCCTGTGGTAGCCTGGTCCAGCAGGACTCCATATTACTTCGCAAGTATCTTTTTCTTTTTCTCTGAGTTGGAGTCTCACTCTGTCACCCAGGCTGGAGCACAGTGGCACGCTCATGGTCATCACAGCCTCAACCCACTGGGCTCAGGTGATCCTTCCACCTCAGCCTTCCAAGTAGCTGGAAACACAGGTGCGCACCACAATGCCTGGTTAATTTTTTTTTCTTTATTTTAGAGAGGAGGCCTCACCTTATTGGTCAGGCTGGTCTTGAACCCCTGAGCTCAGGCACCACCACCTCCACCACCCAAAATGCTGGGATTGCAGGCATGAACCACCACACCCAGCTACTTTGCAAGTCTCTTTTAACAGGTGGGTGGGTCTAGGTATGACCACCACGAGTAATTTCCAGATCCTGCCTTTTCTCTACCCACAAACTTCGGTCCTTCCTCTTTATTCAGTTGGGCTGACAGGGCTTTTCATCCAGGTTTTATGGTGAGTGGTATCTGCCCTGAAACTCAGGTTAGGGGTGGGCATTGCTCATGCCTATCTCCATGCTCATTCTGACACAATATCAGTTTCACAAGGGCCATTAAGTGAAAGCCTCAAATTCATGAATGACCTTGAAATGCAGATGTTTGACAATATCTCCCAATGGGATTATATATTTAGTCCCTGTATTTTTTATCTGCATTAAAACTGTTCATGTAATGAACATCAACACATGTAAAGTACACTACAATTTTAAAAGCCAATATTGTTGTATCTTTCTTTTCTTTTTTGATGTAGTGGAAGACCTAAGAAATAGAAATGGCCTCAGTCCCTTTCATCTGCCAAGAGTCCCAAGGCCTAACTGGTATTTATAAAACCTGTTTTATGAAACTCTGTTGTGGCGGGCTTGGTGGCTCAGCCTGTAATCCCGCGCTTTGGGAGGCCGAGGTGAGTGAATTGCCTGAGCCTGCGGGTTCGACACCCGCCTGGGCAACTTGGCGAGACCTCTTCTCTACAATAAATCAAAAAATTAGCCAGGCATGGTAGTGCGCGCCTGTAGTTCCAGCTACTTGGAAGGCTGAGGCGGAAGGATCCCCGGAGCCCAGCAGGTCGAGGCTGTGGTGGCCGGGAGCGGCCACTGCACTCCAGTCTGGGCGACTGAGTGAGACTCCAACTAAATAAATAAATAAATAAAACTCTGTTGTAATGTCTTCCCACAGCTGGGGCCCTTTTCTCCACTAATATCCAATGGTGGAGAAAATGTGTGAGGTGGTCATCATTAATAACACTAACAACAACTAATATGAAATAAAAGTAGATGCCCCCAAAACCCTGAATCAGTTTTGGAAGACAACTAAGATGGCAGACCAAAATGATATTTGATGAGCACTACTGAGAAGAAACAATCTTTTTTTTTTTTTGAGTTGGTATCTCACTCTGTCGCCCAGGCTGGAGTGAAAGTGCAGTGGCTTCAGCCTGCTGGGCTCAGACAATCCTACCACCTCAGCTTTCTAAAGTAGCTGGAACTACCGGCACACACTTACCACACCTGGCTTATTTTTTGATTTATTGTAGAGACGAGGTCTCACCAAGCTGCCCAGCCTAGTCTTTAATTCCTGAGCTCAGGCAATCCTCTCACCTCGGCCTCCCAAAGTGCTGGGATTACAGGCTTGAGCCACTAGGCCTGGCCTGAGAATGGACAGTCTTATTGGGAAAAAAAAGTCTTTGAGAATATCAAAGTTCTTGATTTTTTATTACTCTTCAGCAAATGCTCAGGAGATTAGAAAGTAGCTGCATTCCTGTTGCCAGAACACTGCAAGGAGCCTCCCAGGTAGGACAAAGCTCTTGTTAAAATCGATGTGTATTCTACCTCTTGTTGTCTAAAAAACGCCCTCTTTTCAAGGTATCTTGAGAAAGAGCAAGAATCTTCCTGAGATATTTAATTGTTAACTACAAAGTTTTTGTTTTACCTTCTAGGAATGCAACCTTCAACCATGAGACACGTGACAGACCTAAAGTTTACAAAGCATGTTTGTTACAGAAAAGTGTATTTGTTTATTCAGTCTAAAAAATTCTATTTAACACAAGGACATTAGTTGGTTAAACTAAGTTATAAATGAAATCAAGAGCTTGTGATCATTAGCACACTATTCAATAACGTCTTCTCACCTGTCTTGGGTTAGTCAACCATTTCCTATATGGAGTGGGTTCTCTTGTCAGAAAGCTTCAGACCCTCTGATGCTTGAAGGAAAAGATGCCTTTAGCTAAGTCAAATCCAAACATAGCACAAAACCTCCTTCTTCCACAATTCCAATATTCCCCAAGGGATTGCTATGATTCAGATACTACAATAAGCAATGTGCATTCATCTCATTTCATTTTTACAGCAATTCTATGGGAAAGATGCTGTTATTATCCCTATTTTATTTATTTCTTTTTTTTTTTTTTGAGTTGGAGTCTCACTCTGTCACCCAGACTGGAGTGCAGTGGCCGCTCCCGGCCACCGCAGCCTCGACCTGCTGGGCTCTGGCGATCCTTCCGCCTCAGCCTTCCAAGTAGCTGGAACTACAGGCGTGCGCTACCACCCTGGCTGATTTTTGATTTATTGTAG